CTTTGTTGGAATTTGGACCACTCTAGGCACCCAGACCACTTCAGCTTAATGAAGTGGTCTGGGTGCCAAGTCCCTCTAGGATTAACCCTTTTTTTTATAAACATAGCAGTTTCAGAGAAACTTCTATGTTTATACTGAGGGTTAATCCAGCCTCCAGAGCCTCTAGTGGCTGTCTCATTGACAGCCGCTAGAGGCGCTTGCGTGCTTCTCACTGTGAAAATCACGCAATGCTTTCCTATGCGACTGGCTGAATGCGCGCGCGGCTCCTGCCACGCGTGTGCATTCAGCCGATGACGTCGCGAGCAAGGAGGAGAGGAGGAGTACAGCTCCCCGCCCGGCGCTGGAGAAAGGTAAGTGTTTAACCCCTTCCTTTCTCCAGAGCCCGGCGGGAGGGGGTCCCTGAGGGTGTATAACACGCACCTCATTTTAAGAAGGAAATTTCAGGGGAAAAAAACTTAAAGGACCACTATAGTGCCAGGAAAACATACTCGTTTTCCTGGCACTATAGTGGTCCTTTAAGTTTTTTTCCCTGAAATTTCCTTCTTAAAATGAGGTGCGTGTTATACGCCGGTGCGTGTTATACGCCGATAAATACGGTAGTTACATAGCTGAAAAGAGACTTGCGTCCATCAAGTTCAGCCTTCCTCACATGTTTTTGCTGTTGATCCAAAAGAAGGCAAAAAAACCCAGTTAGTACTAAGCGTATCAGCTACAAGAATGGAAGCACTTATGTTTTTATTATTATTGGCAGTTACATAGTTCTACTTTTAAATAGAAGCAATTTATGTGTTTTTATAATTTTAAGGTGGGATATAATAGAAACAAACTATTATGTGTGTTGGGAAATAAGAAGTTAATGAGGATCTGCTCAAGTGAGCTTACAATTAGAGTTGAGCGGACACCTGGATGTTCGGGTCCGGCGGGTTCGGCCGAATTTTGAAAAAAAGTCCAGGTTCGGGCTCGAACTTGACCCCGAACCCCATTGAAGTCAATGGGGACCCGAACTTTTGGGCACTAAAATGCCTCTAAAAAAGGAAGCAAAATGGGGGTAAGAGTAGGACAAGTGCCCTGCAAACAAATGTAGATAGGGAAATCACTTAAAATAACATAAAAATAAAAAATACAGCTGAGCCATAAATTAGCACTAGATGGAATCTTTGATTTTAGCTTTGGAAGAACATAAATCAAAATCTAAAGCATGGCTGTCAGGAGGATCACCAGAATGATACATTTCAGAGAGGGTTGGAGTGCAGGGTATTCTCTTTCATTGTTCAAACTGAGCTCAACTCCTGATGCATGGAGAAAAGGCCTTCACAAGCCTCTTCTATTGTGTACATAGTTTATACTAAGTGACCCATAGGTTGAAGAGGCGGTGACCGTGGCAGTGTAGGTGGAAGCAGGGGTGGAGGAGGAGGAGGTAGCCATCACTGTTTTTATATATGTAGCCCCCAAAATATCGGGACATATAAAAAAAGAAAACTGTTTCACAGAGCGACTGACCCGTGCGTGCTGCATCTGAAACTCCACTATCGCCTGCTGCTGCTCGCAGAGTCTCATGAGGCGGTGAGCGGGAAGGCCGAAGTTACGCTGCAGCGCAGACAGGTGAGCAGCAGCAGGGTGAGAACTCCGAAAATGCACACAGACGGCCCGCACTTTCTGCAGCGGCTCTCATATATCTGGGTATACACCGTGGCATCACAAGGGCCACCCAGAACTGGCTCAACTCCCATAAAGCCAAGTTCACCCAGCTCGTCCTGCTAGAGCACTTTTTCAATGTGCTCCCCAATGACAAGGTGACGACGCATTCGTATGTCAATTCATATCAACTTTCGATGCCATTTACTGCGCCGACCATGGTGACCACGGGTAATGGGGAATCAGGGTTCAATTCCTTAGAGGGAGCCTGACAAATGGCTGCCACATGCAAGGAAGGCAGCAGGTGCGCAAATGACCCACTCCCGACGCGGGGAGGTAATGAAGACAAATAACATTTCAGGACTCTTTAGAGGCCCTGTAATTGTAATGAGTCCACTTGAAATCCTTTAACTCTGATCAATTGGATGGCAAGTCTGGTGCAGAGCGACTGACCCGTGCGTGCTGCAGTTGAAACGCCACTGTCGCCTGCTGCTGCTCGCAGAGTCTATCCAGCATGTGCACGGTGGAGTTCCACCTTGTGGGCACATCGCATATGAGGCGGTGAGCAGGAAGGCCAAAGTTACACTGCAGAGCAGACAGGCGAGCAGCAGCAGGGTGAGAATGCCGAAAGCGCACACAGCCGCTACAGTGAATGTCACATCCTGTTCCAAGTTGCGGATCAGTCTGGTGATGGCTTATGGTATCCAGTACTCTTCCTACTGAAGCTGCATCACGGTCATGGTATGTGGGCGCACAAACGCTGGTGCTCAACACCAGGGGGCATGCACCAGACCCTGCTAATCCATTCCACACTGTGACTCTTAACTTCAACATCAGGCATACTGGGTCCCGGTCACCGGACTGCAAAACTGCGAATGGCTCATTAAATCTGTTATGGTTCTTTTTATCGCTCCATCTATAACTTGGATAATTGTGGGAATTCTAAACATAATACATGCCGCTGAGCGCTAGGGGACGGCCACTCTGCTTTTGCACCCTGCTCCCTCTTATGCTGTGCTAGTGCCTCTGTGCGACCAGCGCCTCTTCCTCCAAACTGCACATGTCACTCGCATGACCTTGATTCCATATGGGGTCTAGGACTTCAACAACCTCCACATCATCTTCCATCCACTCCTCAACCCTGCCCTCATTGCTGGTCTGCACATTGCAGAAAGCCACAGCAGTTGGCACCTGTGTTTTTCCAGCATGTAAAGTCTGCAAAGGACATATGGAAATTGTTTTAGAATCGTATCCAGGCAATGGTTTTCCCTGTAAACTGACCTCTCAGTTTGACTTGTGAGGGTATTGCCCCCGAATTACAATATTGTTATATTGGTATTTGACGCTTTAATTTGACTCTCCAATATGAGGAGCATGCCCAAAATGTACTATTTAGCAGATTAGTACCCAGAAAATAAGAATGTTTACAACTGCGCTGTAAGCGCACTATTTGACGCTTGTATTTGACTCTCAGATATGAAGAGCACGCCCAAAATGTACTATTTAGCTGATTAGCATCCAGAAAATAGGATTTTTTACAACTACGCTGTATGCGCACTATTTGATGCTTCTATTTGACTCTCAGTTATGAAGAGCATGCCCTAAAATGTACTATTTAGCAGGTTAGCAGCAAAACAATTAGAATGTTTACAATTGTCCACCTGCACCTCTCACGCCTCCCCACTCTGTCTGTCTCTGCATTGGCTTCCAGTTAGATATAGGGCTCAATTTAAAATTCTGGTGCTTGCTTACAAGTCCCTACATAATGCTGCTCCAACCTACCTATCCTCCGTAATACAAAAGTATGTCCCATCGAGGTCCCTACGCTCTGCCAAAGACCTACGTATATCCTCTGTTCGTACTCCCACCTTTAACGCTCGCCTCCCGGACTTTTCCAGGGCTGGACCTCTTCTGTGGAACACCCTTCCCTTCTCCATAAGAATTTTACCCGGTCTCCACTCATTCAAAAAATCATTGAAAACTCACTTAGAAACATAGAAACATAGAATGTGACGGCAGATAAGAACCATTCGGTCCATCTAGTTTGCCCAATTTTCTAAATACATTCATTAGTCCCTGGCCTTATCTTATAGTTAGGATAGCCTTATGCCTATCCCACGCATGCTTAAACCCCTTTACTGTGTTAACCTCTACCACTTCAGCTGGAAGGATATTCCATGCATCTACTACCCTCTCAGTAAAGTAATACTTCCTGATATTATTTTTAAACCTTTGTCCCTCTAATTTAAGACTATGTCCTCTTGTTGTGGTAGTTTTTCTTCTTTTAAATATAGTCTCCTCCTTTACTGTGTTGATTCCCTTTATATATTTAAATGTTTCTATCATATCCCCCCTGTCTCGTCTTTCCTCCAAGCTATACATGTTAAGATCCTTTAACCTTTCCTGGTAAGTTTTATCCCGCAATCCATGAACCAGTTTAGTAGCCCTTCTCTGAACCCTCTCTAAGGTATCAATATCCTTCTGAAGATACGGTCTCCAGTACTGTATACAATACTCCAAGTGAGGTCTCACCAGTGTTCTGTACAATGGCATGAGCACTTCCCTCTTTCTACTGCTAATACCTCTCCCTATACAACCAAGCATTCTGCTAGCATTTCCTGCTGCTCTATTACATTGTCTGCCTACCTTTAAGTCATCAGAAATAATCACCCCTAAATCCCTTTCCTCATACGTTGAGGTTAGGACTCTATCAAATATTCTATACTCTGCCCTTGGGTTTTTACGTCCAAGATGCATTATCTTGCACTTATTCACATTAAATGTCAGTTGCCACAATTCTGACCATTTTTCTAGTTTACCTAAATCATTTTTCTTCAAGAAAGCATATCAATTAAACTGTTAGCAGGTTTTCATCCCCCACCCTCCATGACTCCTCCCCTGCAACTGTCAAAAATTACCTACTAAGCCCTCAATTTATACTTTTCTAACAACCTACTTTGTACCCCTACTTTTACCCTTTGTGTTACTATACTCCACTCCCTCTAGAATGTAAGCTCATGGAGCAGGGCCCTCCACCCCTCTGTTCCTGTACGTCCAGTTGTCTGGTTACAATTACATGTCTGTTAGTCCACCCATTGTACAGCGCTACGGAGTCTGATGGCGCTATATAAATAATAAAATAATAATAATAACTGCGCTGTAAGCGCACTATTTGACGCTTCTATTTGACTCTCAGATATGAAGAGCATGCCCAAAATTTACTATTTAGCAGATTAGCACCCAGAAAATAAGAATGTTTACAAGTGAGCGGTAAGCGCACTATTTGACGCTTCTATTTGACTATCAGATATGAAGAGCAGGCCCAAAAATGTACTATTTAGAAGATTAGCAGCAAAACAATTAGAATTTTTACAACAGCCGCTGTAAGCACACTATTTGACGCTTCTATTTGACTCTCAGATATGAAGAGCAGGCCCCAAGGCAGGAGGCTTTGGTGGCAGACAGGCGCTCCCAGGGTCGGGACAGAAGGGTAGCGTGGGATCAGTACACCATACCCAGGACTACTTCTCCTCGTTTCAGATCGGAGCTGCTCCTCCTCGGTATTGGCAAGGCACCGGGTTGGCTCCATGGTCGGCGGGATATCGACGGATGTCGCTCATCCTGGACACTTGGCGGTTGGCACTGCAGCCCCGGGCGCTCCTGGGACGAGGGGCTTGGCCGGTGAGTCCTGTGAATCGCTGCACTCCAGTGCATTAGTTCACACACTACAAGCACTGCTCCACTCACTGGGAGCGGGGGTGACAAAGGGGGCAGCGTGGGTCAGGTATGGGCACAAGGGGCTGGGGTTTCAGGTTCCACCGAAGGGACGTCCGCGGGGCCTAGTTCCAGCGTGGATGTGGGGGTGACGGCTGGCGCAGCGGATACATGGAGCAAGCGGGCGTTGTTGATTGGGGGGTTCCCGATATGGCCAGTCAGCACGCATATGTCTCGTTCGCGGGTCCGCTGGGGGTCCACCCAAAGCAGGAAGTGAAGGAAAACATCTGGAAAGGTGAATTCTGCGAGATCTTTTCCCTTCTCCCCTTGGAGGAATTTATTGACCTCAAGAAGGAAGATAAAAAAGATGAGGAGGAGAAACGGAAGCGGTATCATAAGATACCGAAGTCGTTTGGTAATTGGTTAAGGGCGTTTTGCATGCTGGCCATTGTACTGGGCGAGAAATCGCCGGGCTTATGCTCATCCCTGTTCTGTTATTTGGATGGAATTTGGGAGGCATACCACACCTATGGCGGTTTGGCATGGTGGCGGTACGACGAGCAGTTCCGACAGCGGCTGGTGGCCAATCCAGGTATGAGGTGGGATCAAATGGACCTACCTCTCTAGATGAAACTTATGATGGCACAGAAGGCACAGCCCTTGCAACACACGGCCAGCGCAAAGGGGCAGTCCACCTCATCGGCCACCTTTCAAAAGAGCTTATGCTGGATCTTCAACAAGGGCCAGTGCAAATGGAGAGCCACCTGTTGCTTTAAGCACGAATGCTCAGGCTGCGGGGCGCCCATGGGCTCAACTGATATTTCAAAAAAGGAAAGTCGGGGAATGCCGGAGCTTCTACTATGGCCGGGGGGGACTTCCCCTGCCCCGGGGCTTAACCCCGGTGAGGCTCGACGCGATGAAGCCATGGCTAAGCCACTACGGTAACAGGGCGGATGCCGCAGTGCTCCGGGCGGGCTTTGGGCAAGGGTTCTTTATTCTTTTCCAGGAGAGGGGCGGGACAGGGGGCTGCGCAACCTTAAATCGGTGGCGGAGTTCCCTGGAGTGGTGCGAGAAACTGGGTAAGGAAGTCAAGTTGGGAAGGATGGCGGGCCCGTTCCCGGTACAACCGTGGCAGGGCCTAAGGGTTTCCCCTCTCGGGGTGGTCCCCAAGAAGGACCGGGTAAGTTCAGGCTAATTCACCATCTCTCCTAACTGAAAGGAGCGTCGTTGAATGACGATATTGACAAGGATTTGTGCTCGACCGGGATCATTCGACCGGGCTGTCGAGCTGGTAAAAAGGGCCGGGCGCGGGGCGCTGATGGCCAAGGTGGATATCAAGGCCGCGTTTCAGCTGCTTCTGGTCCACCTGGCTTGCCATCACCTGCTGGGGTGTTTTTTCGACAGGGCATATTTCGTGGACTTATGCCTCCCAATAGGGTGTTCCATCTCGTGCTCCTGCTTTGAGAATGGGTGGTGTGGGTTGAGGCGGGGAGCGGAGCAGTGGTGCACTACCTGGATGATTTTCTCTGCGTAGGGCCGGCCGACTCCCAAGCATGCCTGCACGTGCTTAGAACGATCGAGTGGGTAGTGGCCCACTTCGGGGTTCCAGATAAAACAGAGGGCCCGGCGGTA